GCATGGCGTATGCTCAGGAAGTTCGAAAACCTTGTACAAAAAAGCAAACGTTATGAGTGCCAAAAGTTCATGATAACTGATGGATGCCGGCGCGTGCCGTTTTGTTTTCTCCCTTTCGATGCACCTCATTCTCTTTATGAACTTTACTCACGTCACTGCTTAGACGCGATCACCTTGCATTGTGCAGCTGTCGGCATTTTCTTATTTTGTTGTCACGGTATAATGTTGGCGTAAGAACGACCAAGTGACTTGAATGGGCAGTAAACGATTACCGCTTTCCATGGAAAGTGATCCAACCAGTATCACATCTAATTGTGTTGCACTAATAACCTTCGTTGAAGGAAAGACAATCAACGAACGCAAACAATCAGTTCGTTCTTGAAGGCAGTGTACCCGCAAATAGATATTATGTCTTGTTCATAATTCTTCGACTTTACATTACTTTCGAAAACATAACAGGAGAAAAATATCGCTTAACCTGGTGTAGTTCGGGAGCTCAAAGTAAGCCTGAGCTACCGGAAGCATTGGAAGAATTAGTAAGAGATGTGTGACATTTTTTTTGAATGGAACACGTATTTTCGAGATGCCTCCCAACTTCGCATTTTTCTTGCTTTTTGAATCTCCGCAATGACAGAAAGCGCCCCATGTTGGAGGACAACTGAATACGCTGGCATAATCCCCACGAGTTCAACTAAGGCTCAACCGTCCGTTCGCACCACTTCGAACGAGGGGAGGCGATTTTAGGAGCGGCTTATATTTAGGGCTGATCGGAGAACGGAGTCGTTTTGAGTTTCTCGAGAATTTGGGCGTAAAGTTAATGAAAGAGTCTTACAATAGAGAAATATAAAAGATTCGTGGCTTCAATACCCCACCCGCGCTCGATGACATGGGGAAGAGTAGTGAGGCCGCGAAAGTACATAGGTGTTCCAGTGATCTCAGAACCAGATACTTAAAGGCAAAGTTCGGGCTCAGACCCACTCAATGAGCCTTTACGGTGGCTAGAAGCGCTAGGTACGCAAGTGTAGAGGTCGCGTCACTTCCCTACTTCGAAAAGCGTTACTTAGACGCTAGGCGCTAAGAACTTTGACACGCTCCACCTGTTGCGACACGCTCCGCCCACCGCTCGATATCTTGTCTGCGTCGCTAACTTGATCTGCTATGCTCTCTCTACTCGTACTTCTCTAGCGCTCTCCGCGCTCACATTATCTCTCATCTCCCTGCCGGCCTTTTGAACTTCTCCGCAGCGTAGAGCAAAAGGCTCGTATTTCCTGTGTATTTCACGATTTTTTTTTCTTTTTTCACTGGCGGTCCACTTCCTACCCCTACTTTCACATTTGAGTGGAATTACCTCATAATTTAATCCTGAATCTTGCCTTTAAGAAATAGTCAGATGGTGATGATGGTGGTCAGGATTGGGGTGGGGAAGGGTAGAGACATACTAGGGTAAGGGTGATGGTGATGGTGGTTGTTCGAGACCCCTTGAGCGTGGGGTGGGGGTCGTCAAATTTTTTAAAAAGTGCGAATGCGACGGTTTGCTTTTTGAGAAAAGCAGGCTTTTGAAGCGTGGATTCTATGCCTTCAAGAATTTTGTGGAGCGAAATAATACGTGTTATTCCATAATTCGGATTTCGGCCCTTTCCAAGACATTCATTATGGGTTTTTCTTATAGGGATGATTTGAAGGGATCACATACATCTATCTTTCGATGTGTGCCATATAATTGCAGGAAACGTGTGAAGAGTCTGAAGAGCAGTCAGTTGTACGTCAATCATTCCCTACTTACCTGCGAAAATGGAGGGGGTCTCGACAAGTGCTCAAACGTGTATATGTCAAACGAGGCTCGCACTGGGTACTGAAGAAAGTGGTTGTGAGATCGAATCCCTCGGTGAGTTCCTGATTCTCGTGGATCTTTGCCTTTCTGTCTGGACATATGTACTTTAAGAAAGACTCGCCAACGAAGCAGCTCCCTTCAACATCTCAGCAGGGCCAGGAAACCAACAAAAACCACGAACCAAAAACCGAGTCAGACGAAAGCCCACCCAGGAAAGCGCCGCGGATTGTAAAACGAATTTTGGTCAAGGATGGCACCGCTGTGAGTTATCCTACATTCTAGAGGTTTTGGTCCGTACTGCATAAGGTAGAAGTTTTGAAGCGTGCAATGTGATTTCAAGGTTTCTTAGCTGTTTTTTTTTGTGCTCTTTCAGTGAGTCACACCTATTCCACCGCAGAATGTTTGTGTGCAGTGCTATAATCGAAAGTGATACTTGGCTGTGTGAAAGTGTGAAAGAAGAAGAGGAAATGGTCTGGTGAAGTTCATCCCAAATCGCTTGTTACAGCCTCTTGCAAACTTTCACAATGGGCAGTCGGTTTCAACGAGGCAGCCGGAGCAGGAACAAAATGGCAGCCAATCCGATCACGGGAACATTTTTGAAGAATCACAAAAAATCGTCGAGCTTGTTGTAGACCCTGATAAAAAACCAGTGAGTGCCTCTTCAACCAAGTCTTCTTTGCTTTTATCCTACATGTATGTGGGAGAAAATTCTGTTGCTTTCTTCTACTACCTAGCCTTACTATCTTTCCATCCAAGACTTGTTTGTGGTGGCCTTGATTCCACTGAACATCGTCTTAATATCTCTCTACCTATTTTTGGGACCACTCATGGTTTC